AGATGTGTTTGGAGGAGAAAGAATGCTGAGTTGCATCCAAAGACCACCATACCTACTGTGAAACATGGGGGTGGAAACATCATGCTTTGGGGCTGTTGTTCTGCAAAGGGACCAGGACGACTGATCCGTGATCCGTGATTCCCATGCCACCCCGTCCCCCCCTCTTCCCACCCATCTTGCCATTTCACAGAAAATCCTACCCGATGTTTTTTAGCAATCGTCTGAGTTCATCTATATATTATATATATATTATCAATTATAAAGATTTCTTTTTTAAACCAAACCACCAGCACTTACAAGGGTTTGGGTTATTTTAAGCAAATATATCCATATGTACTTGTTGTTCTAAATTTGTATCTTTATGGTAAATGGAACTTATTGTAAGTCCCTTTGGTAAAAGTGTAAGCTATAAAAATGTTAAGTAATTTAAAGGGGACCTATCATGCAAAATGCTCTTTTTGATGTCTTTTATACATACATATGTGTCCCCGTTGTGTCAGGGAACTCACAAAGTGAAAGAAAACAAAACCCTTTCTCTTTTCCTCCGCACCCAAATTTCTAAAAAAACTGAGGTACAACGGAGCTGATCCAGATTTGCGTCCAATATGACATAATATCGGAAATGCGGACCCATGGCACTATCAGGAACATTGCTATCAGAAACAATGCCCGACTGTTTTGGACGTAATAGAGAACCGCAGTGACGCGTCTTAAAACCCGGATGTAAACTACTTCCGGTTCCTTCGTCAAAAACGCAATGCAATTTCTCCATAGGAATTTGGAAAATAGCTGGAAATAAGATCTGTGGTTGAGACACATTGAAGAGAAGGATCACGTTTTGTTCAGCCGGATAATATCCACATGTCTATCCTACTTTTATGATTTTCGAATCATAAATCTAGTCGCCAGAAGCTAAATGCTAACGTTATGCTATAAAGGAACTACAGCAGGGTCGCTGCTTCAACGTCACGCCAACTTAAGATCCATATTCAAACATACAGATTGTAAATGGTACAAGTTGAAGTGTTTGTTTGAACAGTTTGCAGGAGGCAGGTACTTGCTTTCAAGCAGAACAGGGCAAACAAACTTAGCGAGAGTGTTTTACGTGTTCGGTGTAATGACGTAAAACGGCCTGGACAACTTCTGTAGTCCTATTCAGCCACATGTTAACAACCATCGTTTTTCAGACACGTAAACTCTTCAAAAATCACCAGCGGGGTCACTGCTGATGTATTTAATGTCGTAGAACAAAACGTGATCTGTCTCTTCAATTTGTGTCAAACACAGACCTTATTTGGAGCTATTTTCCAAAATCCTGTATTTATTAAATGTTTTACTTTAATGGTGAATGTCATTGTTATCAATAATGAATAGTTATACAAATACATTTTATATCCAGTTTAACGGTATATAACATTTTCTTTTACATTTTTTGTTTTTCAGTAAAAGGTTATTATCATAGGAAGTTACAATTTTATTTGTTATGTTTGATTTTTTAAATATATTTTTGCAGTAGTCAAAGCTCAAACTGTGTTCTCTTTTTTCTTGGTACCAAAAATAAACCTTTGATAAAAAGTGATATTTTGTGACTGTGTGCAGACCCTTAAATCCATGAGGTGACCAATATTTAGATTATTTTGAGTGATTGTTTATTAGAAGGTGTGTGACCTTATTGACCTACCCCTTAAATGTTAAACTACATTAAGGAGTTATAATGTGTAACAATTGTAATCAATAATACATATATTTAATCCTATGAATCTAATGGTGGTCCTCAGACGACATAAACATTAGTACCATACTCTAAAAGTTATTTGAATATTTAATCATGTCAATCTTTTCCCCCTTAAAAGGAATTTATATTTTACTCATTCCAAAAGAGGCAAAGGCAGTTAATAGAACTGCCCAAGTAACTTTGAATTACCTTTCAAAATGTTATAAGCAATGTCCTAATATATTTTTAGATTGATAAGGTAAGGTTTAGAGTAAATAGTTGGGGATTTGATATCGCCTTACATAAAATATATATTAAATCAAACACAGTATAAAACCATAACTACAGCTTATGTGTTTTATTTGTTACCTTAACTTTAATTTTGATCTTAATTAAGAAAGGGAAAACCACATGAATGTTCTCGAAAGTGCTCTAAGATTGTTAATATTTTGTCAAAAAAAATAAAATCTAAATGTATTTTGGTTTTAACTGTATCTAATTCAGCTTGTCAAATCATTTCTTAAAATGCAAATAAATAAATAAAAAACTAAATTATGAATAGCCAGTTTAGGTAGTACAATGAGTTTGTCAAATGTGCTGTTGAGTCCTTAAGAACAACAAAAACAACAACAACAACAACAACACCATGTACTCAATGCTATCAGCACATTCTTTCACTGCCGAAGATGCCAAACTTCTGATAACACAGTTTCTTTGTCTTCGTTGTCGGTGGCTACTTCCTGTTTAGGTGGTTTGTCCATATTCTTAAACATCTTATCAGATTCTTGAGACTGTAACAGCAAACACAATGTGTCCTGACTTTGTGTCACCCTTTAATAATGTTGCTTCTACTGTGACATGTTTACATGCTTTGATGTTCTTAAAGCTCTTTATTGTTCTCATACTGCCTGTGCTGCAGCACCTCTTTTCACCCTCTGTCTGAAACCAGAGTCCAGTCTGCACTGATTGGTTAGATATTACCACTGGATTATTGGTGCATTAATGTGTTCATCACAGCTAGTAACGGTGGAACTAATTTCAATTACTCTGTATACTGCTGTTTGATCCCTTTAACCTATAATTATATGTCCATGTGTCCATTTATTAGCTGATTTATATGTTGTATTAGCTAAGAATCTGAATCTTTAAAGTAACTAAATCTCTCAGATAAATGGAGCGGAGTAACAAGTACAATATTTTATACTGAAATGTAGTGGAAGAGAACTATAATGCAGAATTAAAGAAAGCATATTTGGTTAAAGTACAACTACCTCAAAAGAGTAATATACTTTGTTACATTCCAGTGTGACAACTGGGCTTGCTGTATGGTCACATGCACCCGATTCATAGATTGTAGTTATTAAAATAAATACACTGCATTGTTGATTTAATCTTTGTACAGTAAATGTACCACGACATCCCTGTACTGCGAGGAAACAGCACCAACCTCAGGTAAGTGAGGCATGTTAAACTATGTCAAGAAGAAAATTAAGTTGTTCTAAAGCTGAATGTATTTAAAAATGTTGCTACTCTATGCAGAGTTAAGTCCAATTTGTAATATAAAATTGTAGGAAATGTCTTGTTTTATAAGCTAAGCAAAGTGTGTACTGGTAAACATAGATATCATTTAATTATTAAAGAACAGTCTGGTGTACATTATTGTATTAATTAGTTGATAAACAAAACCATTTTGTTAAGGCTTATCAAGATACAATATTCACCATCATATACTGTGCATCATATGGAAGAGGTTCTACATAAAAGTCTCATTATGTTAACTGTATTCTATTGCATTTTTCAAGATATTTTTTAACTGCCACAGCCAGGTTTCTGACACACATTTTGAACCTACATTGATAGTATTCGTACTACAAGGTAGTGTTTGTCTTAAGGCTATCGTACCATTTCCTTTGCTATTAACAGCAAAGCCATACATATTTTCCCTATTAAAATCTTAGATCTTTTGGGAGGAAATTGTAACACCTGTAAAACTCAAAACCTCTTTAGTACATTGATAATGAATGATCCCGAGGATATTAAAAAATGAAAAAGGGCAACAATTTAAATGCTTTATTTTTCATATGCAAGGCCGGATTACAGTAGTACCTCCAGGGGCCCCCGGGCACTGAGAGCTCAGGGCCTCTCAACCCACGTAACAACGCGCCTACCCAACATGACCAATAATTTACATTTTCATTCAATCTCTGCATGTCAATCGCACACCTATTTGTCAAAAGCAGGGACGCAGCTACATAGTTCAACCAAAGTAGGTCTAGCCTTTTGCCCTTTCAGTCAACAATCACAAGACAAGGATACAATGGATAAGATCTCAAGAGAGTGTATGGCTCAAGAAGACCTAGGTAATATCACTATTTAATGTTGGGAATTTTTTTAATGCAGCTGCCACTCTCTCTTCTTTTTATTTTTCTTTCTTTTCGCTGCCCCGCTGGGTGTTTGGCTGTTACCGGCACCATCCATTTTTCAGCTCATACAATTATCAGAAGTTTGGAAGGTAACTTAAAAAATGTAATCCGTTAAAAGTACTTTTGAAAAAAGTAATCTAATCTTATCAACCCATTATTAAAAACATGTATCCTTATTACCTTCCGCAAATAAAGATAATAGAAGAGAAATATAAATAACATTGCTTTTACCAATTGTATTCTGTTAACAGAGAAGGAAAGACAACACAACAATGTAACAATCGAAAGAAGAAACCATGATAGAGATTCTGTATTAAAAATGGGACCTCTTCTCAGTGTTTTCTTATGATGGATAACATGCCTTTCATTAGACAAATTCAGGCAGTAAGCATTACTGTTCCACGTATTGGACACCAATAACGAATCTGATGATGATAAAGTAAAGAAAGCAAGCAATCTTCCACTACTTGAAGTGGTTTGGACTAATATAATGTTTATGTCTGTTCGTTTACTAAGCAATTGTTTTTTTTTGCTTTGTTATGATATTCACTTGTCATAGCGGTCATTATGTACGTAAATATACTCTATTAAGTATGCTATTCACACTTGACACACAAACTTTATTTAAACAGTCCCAAAGTAACATCAGTAGTAGTAAACAGTTAGTTAGTTAGTTAGTTAGTTAGTTAGTTAGTTAGTTAGTTAGTTGGTAGCTAACATTAGCGGTTAGCGTTGTTCTTCCCTGTAAATGCTTCTTCAAATTAGACGTAGCCCTCTTGGATAAGAGGGCAGCTAACAGCTAACATGCTTTTGCACACACTCCTGTGACCTTTGGATGAAATGAAATCAAGAGGCTTCCTTACCTGTACTGGACCACCATCATGTTCTGCTCCCCACAGTGCCGGGCACAGCGGATATACCTCATCCAGCTGGACTTACTGGGATCATTACCATCAATAAAGTGCTGTAACGTCCCTTCTGCATCGTAGATCTGGAAAACACAAAGGAACAGGGTTTAGAGCTGAAAGCAGAATATAGAGTCAGATGCTCCCGGTTTGCTAGGATTAATTAAGTCCTATAATGTCCTTTGCATTGCTGATTTGTTAAAAAACCTGTTTACATTGGAAGGAACGCACACAGTGTTGGTGTTTCAGGATAGTTATGCACCTTGAAGGGTAGCAACATAAAATACACAGGCTGCAACTACTATACCAATATTTTTAATAACCAATTTGTCCGCCGAATGTACTCAACATTTTAATAAATAATCAAACAAATCTAATAAAAGCCATGTTTACAGGGATTTATTGGGAATATCTTTTACTGTATGTAACTTCATGATATATTTCTGTTATCTTAAAGATCACAAGACTTCTACCAGTCTGTTGTGGCCAGTGCTCTCTTCTTTGCTGCGGTCTGCTGGGGGGCAGCATCAGAGCCGGTGACACCAGCTGACTGAATGAACTCATTGAGAAAGCGGGCTCAGTCATCGTCGTCAAACTGGACACATTTGTATCTGTGGTGGAGCGGAGGACTCTGAACAAACTGTTATCTATCATGGATAACCCCACCCCCCCTCTCCACCTGCAGCTGGACAGACAGCGGAGCTCCTTCTCCAACAAACGGCTTCAGCTCCGCTGTCACACTGAGAGGTATAGGCAAACATTCCTGCCGACTGCCATAACACTTTACAACAACTCACCTCTGGCCGGCAGAGAACTCACATAGTGTTGGTTCCTCCCCTGCAGTACATTTTGGCACAAGTGCTACTTACACAAATGTAATTGATATACTACCATGTGTATATATGTTTCCTGCTACTGTAATATATTGTAGAGCAGTCTAAATTATCTAGTACATTTTGTATTGAGTATTGTGGTTCATGTCCTTTATACTGTGTATATGTACACAGACTTGCTGCTGTTTATTGTTTATTGTTTAAGACACATAAAAGCTTTGGAGATTAACAAGTTGGGTATTTACTGACATATTTTATGTCATGTATGAACAAAACCTCTTTAGCTTGTGTTAACCAAATATATTATATTCGGCATCTAGCCAAAGACACATGAAAACAACAGTTTGAGACAAGGGAAAGCAGAAGTGTTAAAATTCTAACTCATTTCCAGTTTTTAGGATTCATTGCACCACTCTATTAAAGGTGGGGTAGGTAAGTTTGAGAAACCGGCTCGAGATACACTTGTTGTTATATTCCATGGAATGCTCTTAACATCCCGATAGCAATGAATATCTTAAGTGCTTTGACAAAAACCCATAAAAAAATTCATCTATGGAAGCCGTGGTACTGTAAAAAGTACAACCAATCATCTGAGCCGGCCCGGCTAAAGTAACTGGATGGCCTACCTGCCTGTCAGCCTTCCATCTGTGCACAAACTTATCTCATGCCCTCATTGGTCATGTGCGCGTTCCTGTGTGTTGGAGGAGGGGCTCTGTGAGGAAGTGGCAGATTTTTTCCGGCCGTGTATTTTCAAATTCTAGCGATCTCGAGCTGGTTTCTCCAAAATTACCTACCCCACCTTTAAGAAGCATTTAAGGAAATACGAAAGTACAAGTATGTCGAAGTGATACTTAAGAACAGTAATGGAGGAAACTGATCTATAAAGACTTTTAAAGGTGGTAATCTGGTGCCAAACATACAAATTCAACATGCAAACAGAATAATTCACAATAAGCGGTTAAAAGGAGTCAATGTGCCTCCGCCTCTCTTTGTGTTCATTATTAATCCATCCCTCCATCCATCCGTGGTGATGCAGTGTGACTGTATTGAGGAGGCGTTGAGTGCATTTATAAGGTGATGACCTGAGCCAATAGACGGCCTCTCTGCTGTCCATACAGCGAGCAAACAATCAATGCAGTAAATGAGTGTGGGAATCAGAGGAAACAGCCTCATTTATGATTATCTGCGTGTAAGCACTTTAATCTGTCTGAACACCATCCTGTCTCATCTATTTCATAATGTAACAAGTAGATTCAAAGAAATGTAGGCCTATTTCTTGTTAAATCTTCAGCCTATATTTCAGAAATTTGAAATATCATTTTAATTCAACTCCATTTCTTTGTGTCTGTGTATCAGAATATCTTTAGCCATATATTTTATCCAAGCTATCACTAAAATATGTATTACAATGAACCCAAACGGTGCTCAAGTACATACTGTACATGCTAATGCAAAATAATATAGCAACTACAGCAAGACAACAAGAAAAGCCACATGTAAATAGCTTATCAAATCATCAACAAACACAATATAAAGGCACTTTTCTCCAAATTAGTCTTTCTTTGTCAATGTAATCTATGACAAAAACTATTTGTTGACAGCATATTTTTTGCAAAAAAGCTAACAAAAAATGCACCTTTGTAAATCAGAACTTTTGTGAAATTACTTAAAGTATAAATATATATGTCAATATTTCTATAGTTATATTTTAAGTATATCTTTCATCTCTCACGTTTTATATATATATATAACGGTGAGATGGAAGAATTTTCCTATAAACTAACTCACAATGTCAGGATCAAAGTTGGCAATCAACCATCTAAATATTTATATATTAATAATATTTCTCTTTTTCATAAAGAAATACCAATCTGTCATTTTAGCTAAACCCTCACACAGAACCGCATGAAGTGAATGTAGCTTTGGTCAGCTGTAGCCTAAAGATGCTTAAAAGGCAGATACACATTTTAAAAAAGGATGTTAAAAACTAAGATGTCTTTATTATTTGTATTAGAATGAACAAATCAGGTAACTAAACTAATAAACATTTGTATCTTTCACAAAATATTATTTGTTTTATTGATGAATCTGTTGTAAATATAATATTCATATATAAATGGTCAGAAAAAAAGTGAATACTGTCCATCCCAGTTTCTCAAGGTCTAAGGTGATGTCCTGTTTTGTTAGTCACTAAAATATCATGTAAAACAAGAAGGAGGGCATCTTTATCATATTTGAGTGGCTTAAAACAGCATTTTGGCCAATTTTGTTACTAAAAATGATTCATCGATTGCCTAGAAAGTAATGATATTTATGTAAATCAACAAAGCTTAGAACAACTTTACTGGCCATTTTTATTGATCAAATCCCTTATTGAAAAAGCTGTTAATGATTTGTATCATTTGCCTAATCTTTGCAGCTATTTATTTTTGTATAAAAAGACCAAAACTAATTAAGGTGTCAAAATGAACGCCAGAAAGACAATCTTTCAAGCAATATGAAGGGATAGGAGGGAGGATGCATTTTTCAGCTTCATAGGGTAGCCTTTACAGGAAGGACAGGAGGCATCAGGGATGATGGGGAATTTGGTATAAAATGCTGTATTTACAGTAATTTTGCTGATGAAACGACAAACAGGGTTTCTTAAAAGTAATAAAGCATGTGTGCTCTTATACTTGTCCTTGTTTCTTTGAGAGGACCTGAGATTTTAGAGCTTGAGTGAGGACATTGTTTTTGAGCCTTGCTTTTCAAAGAAATCATTAATAAAAATGTTGGTTTTAGGGTTAAGGTTAGGAAAAGTATATTTAGGGTCACTGGATGAGGGGGAATGCTTATGTCTCTCAGGGTCCTCGTATACATTACCAACACATGTGTATGGTGTGTTATGTTCCCTGCACTATGCTGTTGTTTAAAGCTTTTGTTACTCCCAGCCATTTTCACTGACGTTTATTTAAATGAATGACAGTACGTTTAACAACCTCCCACGTCACCCTGCTCTGCCGTGGTTTTTACTTTCCTGAAAGGAAGGTGGGAGCACCCAAAGGTGGCCTGCCAAGTTTCTTAAATCTCTTTGTTACATGTCAATCACTTTGAATTTCCTAAAGTGCTATACCAAAAAGTAACATATAAAGTACCTACAAAATAGTTAAGAGCTTAAAATAAATGACCAAGAATTTCTAACATTTAATGTAACCATACATTTGAATATATTATTTATTTATTTTCAATATTATTATTATTATATATTTGTATATTGTGTGTACACTACAGATTTATATCTTTATTTTTTCTACTTGTTATTATTAATTCATGTGCAATGCCTTTTTATCACGTTTCTGTAACAAAAACATTTCCTAATTTGCGATCAATAAAGCATATCCATTCTAATTTGTTTAGAAACTAAATCATTAATTGTGCATTTCTTAATTTTGTCACAATGCCTGTGCTTTGTAATTTGTCCTGATATATTGTGTTTGTGCTGATTTTGTGCCCATTTTTAAAGAATGTAATATGTTATTGTGAATGTAGCAACACTGATACTCTGTTATATTATGTTTTCATTACCAGAAGCACCTGTGTGGCCCTCTGCTTGCTGTACAGTAAAACATCAGTGGACTGGAGCCTCAGCAGCTGGTTTCTAGCTTGATGCTGCTCCGTCAAAGACATTTTGGCTAAAAGTGTTTATCGAATCCATCGCTGTGAAATTCCATCTGCAAGATGAACGGCCAAATATAACATGTTGTTTAGTTCAGCGGGTAGAAAATGTTGCAAACACTGCCACGCTGCCGGTTTGACTTCACAGCTCCGCCTGTCATTTTTCTGTCTGAGCACAACAATCCTTTTTTTGCTACAGCTTTGGTTTCTTATAGCTCAATAAATTATCCTGGTTTGGCTCTCCGTTTCTTCGGGACATATGACCCTTTCGGCAGCGCACAGCTTTATATCCAAACACATCAGAGCTGCTACAGGGGGAGCCGAATATGCATTGCTTTGTTTAAACCAATGGTTTTTAATTTTTTTGTAGATCTTATGCGGCAATGGGTAATATTTGGAGAAATGTGCTGCACTTTCAAATGATGCAAATATAAAAACACAAATGTACCAAAACACATGCGAGTAAAGAAATATCTTCACCAACTGGACAAAACATGCGCAGCATTTAGAAAACATTCACCAACTTCACAACAAATGCACAGTGTTCACTAAAAGCACTGCATAAACGAAACACTGCAAATACAAAGCGCTGCAAGAAA